GTAGCCATATCTGTGCTTGTAGACCTCTGCCGCTTGAAACCTTTTCAACAAATTAAAATAGCTGGATTTGGCAGAAATATGTTTGAATTGTTACCTTGTTTCGTTTTGTCGCTGTGTGTACATCTGACTGCACTTCTTAACGTTATGACAGGACAGGCCGACTGTCAACAACGTCTGAACATGGCCGTGACGTCTCACAGACTAGGGTTAGAGTAGCTTCCCTTTGAATGTAATGTTTGTGGGAGAGCGATTTTAAAGCACAGAATTAAAGAATGACATTATATGATAAAGATGTTATCACGCTTGTGTGTTGGGGATGGTAAATATCCTGTATTAGGAATAAACACTATGTATTTAGCTCGCCAAGGCTCGCTAAATACAATGTTTATTCCTAATGCAGGATATTTACCATCCCCAAACACACTCGCGTGATAACCTCTCTCTCTCTCTCTCTCTATATATATATAAATATGAGAGAAACATGATATTTCACTCGACACGTGAAATATCCTCTATATCTCCTTGGAGATATCGCTACAATGATATTGAATCAAAATGCTTTGGTGACCTTTGTGACGACACCGTTACCTCGACGTCACAATTAATTGACATCATTAATCTCTCTGCCACTGATGCTGGTCAGTTCTACCTTGCACACTCAAGACACTGGTCATTACTGTCTATTACAAACTGTAAACGTTGGAAAAATGATTTTGGATGATAAATATAATCTTATCTCAGGGCGAAGCGGGATTCGAACCACACCTAACTCCTTACAGCACATTCCGACTTGGGCTTGACTGCCCCAGGTGTGGGTCGGAGTGACGGAGATGCAATGCCCCCGACATTGAAAAAGAATCCCATCAACTCACACATGCTAAGTAAGTCTTGTCTCCAGCGATGACCTCTTCACAGTTACCTCTGGCAGAACACAGAGGATCTGACAGGAATCTATAGAATTTCTTATTTTAAGGAATATGTGGGCGATTAATACAACACCACACACAATAGTTGGTGAATGTCAGTCCCCGACGATGTTATCAGAGACAAGCTCATCATTGCACGTAACAAGTGACAGTGCACTATGTGGACACACTGTACAGCATGCAACTGGGGAAAAGGTTTTAAAAGTGGGGTCGTTATTTTTAAGCTTGTTTAACACCAAGTATTCGTAACGCAGCTCCGACATAGCGCTTCTAGACAGGGAAATGCCAACTTCAGATTCATATGTGTAAAGAAACACGGTTATGAGTCGGTCTAAGGAGGCCTGAGATGTTTTCACAACGTACGGAGAAATGTTGAATGTGCTTAATCCGAACAATGTTAACTTAGTTTCGAATAAAAAGGATTTTCTGGTCGCAAACATATTCCTTACTTCAAGACGAGGCATGTGTTAGATATCACATCTATAGTGAGTGAGTATTAGATTATTTAAGAAATAAACGACGAGTGGGAGTTGTTTATCGTACAATAAAGCACTTCAAGAAGAATGAACCATGAGGGACGCAGCCTCTTAAAGGGTGTTACTAAAATGTACAAGGTTTAAAAATATTTAACCCAATTGTAATAATGATGACTCCCTGAACAGAATCCGACCTCGGAAATATTGGACAAGTCCATTTTACGAGTATGCCGCAAAATAATGAAGTATTCAACAATTCGTCATTGTTAAAAATCTCACAAAAACTATAATCCTTGCCCTGGGTATTTTGGCAAAAATAGAGCCCATAGGCTCTGTAGCTCACTTGAACTATGAAGAAATATTGGAGATCATGTGTGAAATTGAATTGGAATTTTTAGAGACACCATGGGGTCATTCATACGGACTGATAACCTGACGGACAACGCGCCACGATGTAAGCTCACTTGACTTTAAATCTTCTTCAAGTCACTATAAATTATATATACAAACGATGGTAAAACGTAAATTATTTCCTCGTAAAGAAAGTTATATTCTTAGCACTAGGACTGTCTAAGTTAATGCAGACGAATCCTGTAAAGTAAAGTAAATTATACTATATTTTGATGAGTGCATGCATTCAACACCTGGTTCTATTTGACCTTCATAGAATGGGACAAAACAGAACACGAGTCATATGCATTTCAACATTTCTATCAGTAGGTTAATTCTCAAATGTCAAACTCCGTGTGTTTATTTTGTACCTTGGGGGCATATTGGCCCTGTAAATAGCCTGTTCACATTTGGAGAACTCTTTTTCTAAATGCATATGACATTGATGGAGAGAGCTGCATGCTAACTCCATCTCTCGAGAGTCCAAAACATCCTTGGCCCTAAATATCAGGATAAATACAGTTATTTCATGGAACCATTCATTACATTTCAGTATTAATCCTTGACAAATAACACTCACTGTGGATTACTACTTGCTGAATAGTATTTCAAAAGTTAAGAATAGATGCACATGAAATAAATGTTTTCAGGAAACTGCTAACCGCTTGCTCAGATTAAAAATTCCTTGCAGACATTATCGTAGTGTCCATCCCCTCGGGATCCGTGTTCATGTTTATCAGGGCTTGTTCGTGTTTATCAGGGCGTGTCCGTGTTTATCAGGGCTTGTTCGTGTTTATCAGGGCTTGTTCATGTTTATCAGGGCGTGTTCATGTTTATCAGAGCTTGTTCATGTTTATCAGGGCGTGTCCGTGTTTATCAGGGCTTGTTCATGTTTATCAGGGCTTGTTCGTGTTTATCAGGGCGTGTCCGTGTTTATCAGGGCTTGTCCATGTTTATCAGGGCTTGTTCGTGTTTATCAGGGCGTGTCCGTGTTTATCAGAGCTTGTTCATGTTTATCAGGGCGTGTCCGTGTTTATCAGGGCTTGTTCATGTTTATCAGGGCTTGTTCGTGTTTATCAGGGCGTGTCCGTGTTTATCAGGGCTTGTCCATGTTTATCAGGGCTTGTTCGTGTTTATCAGGGCGTGTCCGTGTTTATCAGAGCTTGTCCATGTTTATCAGGGCATGTTCATGTTTATCAGGGCTTGTTCATGTTTATCAGGGCGTGTCCGTGTTTATCAGGGCTTATCCATGTTTATCAGGGCATGTTCATGTTTATCAGGGCGGCTGTGTTCATCAGGGCGTGTCTATATTTATCAGGGAATCTCATGTTTATCAAGGCTTGTTCGTGTTTAGCAGGGCGTGTACAAATTTATCAGGCATGTTCATGTTTATCAGGGCATGTTCATGTTTATCAGGGCATGTTCATGTTTATCAGGGCATGTACGTGTTTATCAGGGCGTGTCCATGTTTATCAGGGCATGTTCATGTTTATCAGGGCATGTTCATGTTTATCAGGGCATGTTCATGTTTATCAGGGCTTGTCCATGATTATCAGGGCTTGTTCATGTTTATCAGGGCGTGTCCATGTTTATCAGGGCATGTTCATGTTTATCAGGGCATGTACGTGTTTATCAGGGCGTGTCCATGTTTATCAGGGCATGTTCATGTTTATCAGGGCTTGTCCATGTTTATCAGGTCATGTTCATGTTTATCAGGGCGTGTCCGTGTTTATCAGGTGAAATTCATGTTTATCAGGGCATGTTAATGTTTATCAGGGCTTGTTCGTGTTTATCAAGGCATGTTCATGTTTATCAGGGCTTGTCCATGTTTATCAGGTCTTCTTCATGTTTATCGTGGCGTGTCCATGTTTATCAGGGCTTGTCCATGTTTATCAGGGCATGTTCATGTTTATCAGGGCTTGTTCGTGTGTATCAGGCCGTGACCATGTTTATCAGGGCGTGTCCATGTTTATCAGGGCATGTTCATGTTGATCAGGGCTTATCCATGTTTATCAGGGCATGTCCATGTTTATCAGGGCGGCTGTGTTCATCAGGGCTTGTTCATGTCTATCAGGGTGTATCGTGTTTATCAGGGTGTATCATGTTCATCAGGGCACATTCATGTCTATCAGGGTGTATCATGTTTATCAGGGTGTATCATGTTCATCAGGGCTTGTTCATGTTTATCAGGGCACGTACATGTCTATCAGGGCATGTTCTTGTTTATCAGGGCTTGTTGATGTTTATCAGGTCAGGGTTTGTTGGTGTTTATCAGGGAAAATTCATGTTTATCAGGTCATGTTCATGTTTATCAGTGCTTGTTCGTGTTTATAAGGCCATGTTGGGGTGTATCAGGGCTTGTTTTTGTTTATCAGGGCGTGTTCATGTTCCTAAGTAAGGGTTTGTTTGAAATGCATAAGTGTGATTCTACAAGCTCCACATGATGCCCCCTCTTTTCTCTACTGGGTGTGACAAATCTGTCCCTGCAATGCAGCCCTTCTCATGAACTGGATCCTGGCTCTTACCATGTGATACATAACGGTGGGGGTCGCCTAGTTGTTAAAAGGTTCACGTCTTGCCATTGGCCCGGGTTTGATTCTCAACATGGGTACAATGTGTGGAGCCCATTTGTGGGGTGTCCTCCCACAATGAAATGGCTGGAATATTACAAAAAGCAGTGTAAAAACCATACTGGCTCACTCTTACTCTGATATAACCTGTGCAGCAATGCATCCCTTAGATGTGTCCGAAACGATGATGAATTCGAATCCTGGTTCAACCTGATTATGTTTCTAGGTTTGTCAGCACCATACCCGTGCTCATAGGTTTCACCAAAGTTAAAAACGTACAAGACCTTCATCACTTTAGACTTTCCTCATCAAGCTGACATGAAGCTGACACGTCCTGAGGTAACCAAAAAACTGTTCAAAGCGATGTTTAATTAAATTCACTCTTCTCGTTCACTCACTCACTCACTCTTTTTTTTAGCCTATCCCTGAGCTTGGAGTGCCTTTCTTACTGTCTGAAATTTTTACAAAAGTATAATAATTAATTTTAAAAAAGAAAAAAAAATCAAAACAAAAACTACCAAGATAAAATAATAACAGAAAACATTAAAATTAATTTTGATCTTGTAACTTCCGTGCCCAGACCTACTTTCCCTCTTAGGTACCCCTTTCTTGATTTTCTTACAAAGAGTAAAACATGGTAATATAATAATATGCTTTATTCAAGAATGTTTAATAATTTGCAACCTCAACAAAATACAGTTGAATATCAACACAGATTAAATTGAATGAAGATGGTAGCAATGATAATACACCTGTACATGTAATATGAATAGCATGAACAGGCACTGGCACATCCAATCAGCATCTTCAGCATTCAACTAAATGCCATTATATTCACTGCCAGAACATAAGGCCATGAACATCCTTCAATGTACATAATGTGATCAAGATAACGATTACAGTGTGTTAGAGGAGGACCAGGCTAAGTAGCTGTCCTCCTTTGGCTGAATCAAGTCATTCAAACAACACTTTTTTTAAGTTGAATTTAACAGTGTGTGTCAACCTAGTTAATGATGACTGTAATTACAGAGTGACAATGTCAATTACACAAGCAGTACTTATTACAGCTAAACCTAGGGCCAGACTTTTGTTATATCACAGTTTACAGATTGTTTTGTGAAACACCCTGACTGGTAGGTATGGGAAAATAACATGAAAAAACAATGATATTTTTTTATTTGTAGTCAAAAATGTTATCTGAATATGTGAAACAGACTGATTGTAGGTATGGGACAAATATAATTATAAACAAGGTATTTTCGTATGTAGTTCAAAAACTCATTCATGTGAATATTTTGCCACATGGGCAATTTCTGCTAAGTCTCATTGCTCATGAAATTACTGCAGTGTCCTGGGTACCTGAGGGTTGTTGCTATAGTATTTGAGTTTAGGGATCCCCACAATTAACATGACAAGGACCCCAGGTTTTATTCTTAATGTCAAAAACTGATTTGTATGTTGACTTTGGGGTCAACCCACACATTTTCCTCTATTGGCATAAAAAAAATATTTTTCAGATTTCATTGTGTGCCCATTTTAAACTTTATTAGAGCTGGTAGTCAATACAGTACTCTTTAATACACTAATGAACATTGGAGCAGGATACTGGATTATTTCATGTTGCTAATAGAGGTCACCAACTGTTGTACTTGAATTGCGTACTTACTTTTATTAACTTGAGATAAAGCGGAACATGCTTCAGTTGCATGGCAACATGGGATACTATTTGTATGACACCATGTCATAGCAAGCAATCATTCATGTCCAACCTGGAGGGGTTATGGGGTAGCCTGGAGGTTAAAGCACACCGAAGACCCGGGTTTGATTCCCTACACAGTTAAAATGTGTGAAGCCCATTTCTGGTGTCCCCTGCCGTGATATTGCTAAAAGCGGTGTAAAACCATACTCATTCACTCACTCAAACCTGGACAATCAGAATATCCCTATCAAATATTGAGACGTATATGTTTCAACAGGCTTCCTTACTAACATTACTTTATTCCATAAATCAGTGCATCATATGCTGTTTTGATCCTATTGTTTACATTGCTCCTTAAAATCTCTGCATAACTAAAATCAACAGTTCTTTCACCCATGGTGACACTTTGTACAATGTTGTCCTGGAACGGATGTTGGGAGATGTGGGTGCAGCACCTGTAGGATGACCGGACTAACATCCTTCCTTCGTCTGGATAATGATTCTCTTCACTTTGGGCCTTATCATGAACTCATCGAGATCAGAGTCACTATTGGAGGAGTTCGAGTCAGTACTGTCATCAGAGTAGTTGCCAATTCCAGGCAATATGCCGATGACCCTGGCCACACCATTCACTCTTCTGGGTTGAGGCTGTTCCTCTGTTGAACTGTCCACTGTGGAACTGTCTGCATCTGAAACACACAACACATGATGTTACTTGGCAGTAGGGGCTGATGTAGGTTGTGAGTGGTTGTGAGTGGCAGCAAATAAATGAAGTACTAGTAAAATGTGTGCTATCACTGGATTACTGTAATTAGAGTTATCTGCCCCTTGTTGTTTACAACCATCGCAGGCTTGATCATTCAAGAAGTTTTGGGGTTGGGACAGTTTCTAGAAGGTTGGCTGTACCTTCATACCTGCCTCCTATTTGACCTTGTATTGGCTTTTGATTGTAAACCTAAAATTCTGTTTGAGTATAATTTGTTGATCACTCATTGGTCCAGTGTGGTCATTACTGATTTCACAATTTAATTCCATACACTTACATGTTTACTTGGAAATCATTATGTTACAATGTTAAATGTTATGTTGGTTGTGTAATATTCAAGTTTTATTGTCTGGACCAGACGAACTAATGGTTGATATGATGAGTGAGTCAGTGAGTATGTTTTGACACCACTTCTAGCAATATTCCACCAATATCACGTCAGGGGACACCAGAAATGGGCTTCTCACATTGTACCCATGTGGGGAATCGAACTCAGGTCTTTGGCGTGACGAGCAAACGCTTCAACACTAGGCTACCCCACCAGCCTGTTTATATGATGAGCAACATCTCATGCCATCAGGTTATGATGACAAAGCCACATAGTCTGACAACATGGTCGAAAAAGTCACCTTTAATGAGTAGCATAGGTCACTATTGAGAGTAGGACCGAGGTAAGCAATAACACAATGTGCTATTCCCATCTCAATATTCTCTTGTGACAAGCATAAATTACAGGAACCTATTCTAGGCCCCAGTATCAACACAAGAATTTCGTTTTAAAACTTTATGTTATGCATATTGTAAGTTTATGATGACAAATGACAAATTACATTTATCTTTATTCAAGGAGATCTTTTACAGCTTAACAATTCTTTTCTAATGGTTCTGCTGATGTTTTCAAAAGGAGTGAAGAGGTTGAAGTATTTGCGATTATGAGCGTGTGAAGTACACTGAAATTTCAGTTTCTGCAGCAGAAGCCATAAATTATTCTTCTGAAACCATAAAAATATTTTTCGGTTGTCATAATCGCAGTATGTTTTTTTAGGCTACAGTGACTTTAAGAGTTAGACTGACAAGTTATGGGGAACATGTCTGAAGTGTGCTCCATAGCTATGTATGTGATACATCAGATTGTGAACAGTTTCGATCTAAACAATGTAAGGAAGCCCATAAGACGTTGTGGTTCAAGTTACTTATTTTAAAGTTTTATGCTGATTAGAGAGAGTGAGTGAGTGAAGAATGGGCTTAACTCATTGTACCTGAATGTCCTACCGAGTGAGTGAGTGAGTGAGTGAAGAATGGGCTTCACTCATTGTACCTGAATGTCCTACTGAGTGAGTGAGTGAGTGTGTGAGTGAATGAGTGAGTGAGCATAGATGCATGCGTACAGTTTTTTAGTAATATCTTGGCATCTAGACAAAAAGCCTTGCCACCTGAAAACACACATCCTCAACATAGTATCATTTATATCAATACTGTTTTAGGATACTGTTTTAACCCCAGTCTTGTAAAAAGTATTATAAATATTCTTATATCATGACATGAAAATAAAAAAATAGGTCACAGTGAACTCCATGATGGAAAGCAGGTCAAAGCGATATATATTAGTAAGAAAGTGGGTCACAGTGTCAAAAAGTCAAGATGAAAAGTGTGAACTGGAAATTTGAATAAAGTGAACTAGAAAACATACTGAGGATTCGTGTGATAAAAAGCATGTAAGATCTCCTTATGCATGTGTCAGCAATGCAAAGTGAAAACAAAGTGCAGAGGCAGAATTTATCTCAGTGGGGGGCAAATTCCTACAAAATCCTTCAGCATTCCCAGATACATGTCTGCCTGCGCAGTAAATATCAGCACATTAACAACTAACTACACTCAGTGATTTATTCACATGTTTCAAGTGTTTTTACTGTGTAATATCAAGTGTGAATAGGGGTTTTATTGCAAAGTCAGCAATATCTCAAGAAACACAAACTATTATTTGATGACAGTGTAAAAGAATATTTGAATAAAGTGTGCTAATTTAATCATCATCTGTTTCATGATTTGATCTGAAAATCACAAATCCTTAAATACACCATTTCCAACTACACATTCTCCATGTTGGAAGTGTAGCCAGTATTATCCCTAGACTTTGTGAGCATAAATTGAGAATCTCATCCTTGAGACTTTGCATATCAAATATATCAACACAAGTTGGCAAAAGTTTAAATTTCTCAGCAAGCCTCGTTTTATAAACAGAATCGTTATCTTATGGTTTCTTACAATCAATTTCAGAGAAAGCTGCACGCGTTATTGCGAGGTAGCTTCTTGGGTGAAGATCAGGGTAAGAATAAGTCTTCAGCAACCCACGTTTGCCGTAAAAGGCGACTATGCTTGTCGCCGATACCAACTGCGTAGCGTGATGCTCATGATGTCAATCACTGGATTGTCTGGTCCAGACTCGATTATTTACAGACGGCCGTATATAGCTGGAATATTGCTGAGTGCAGCGTTAAACAACAAACAAACAAAAGGTTTCTTGGACGAACAGTCTATGGTCAAATCATTAGCTACGAATGTTGTACTCAAATGCCGTCCTTATACAAATGTCTTTATCATCATTAAATTTTGAAGATGTGCAAAGTTTATGTGCAAATAAAAAAACTTGTCCCTGTTATACCCCCATTCCACTAGGCGGCGATCAACGGTGATCTACGCGATCTGAAGGAGCGCCATAGATCGCCATATAATGAGGCGATATAGGGGTACTTGTGATCCGATTGCGATCAGATAGCGATCCAATAGCGATCTATGTGATCCGATAGCGACTTGATGGCGCTTGATCGCCACCCAACCACCCCAAAATGTGGCGATCTTGAACTATCAGTTCCCGCTCCTTTCGCGATCCGATGTGATCAGGATGCGCTCCAATGGCGCTCTATTGGCGATCCGATGGCGATCAATGTGATCTATGGCGCTCTTCTCTCATTCGGATAGTGATTGAGTGCGATCTATAAAGATCTGTTAGAGCTCAAGTAGCGCTCTAGGCGATCCGATTGCGACCTTATTGCCGCAAAGGGGCCCGATTCTATGAAAACCGGGAGGGAAAAAGGGAGTCAACCGGCGGCGACCTTGCCGATCATGGAGATCAGTTAGCGATCTGTTAGCGATCCGTTAGCGCTTTTGGCGATCTTGGCGCTCTATATGGCGCTCTCACGGAGTGCCGTGGATCCCCGCCTAGTGGAATGGGGGTATTAGACACCATTTTTATTACAACTTGTGTTTTCATTTGTTAGATATGTTTTGAAATAGACTTGCAGGTCACACATTTGTTATTTTTTGGTTCACGGACCGGCCACTCCCACTAAAAAGCAGACTGTCTAAGAAATAAATTAAACATATTTTTCTAAAAGAATTTTATGTCTCCCGCTAGTAATACCAACCCTCTTATACAATATAAAATGATATATATACATTCCAAGTTTACATCACTATCAGTGATTCAAGAAGCCATCTACAGTTTTAACTCCACACCAGATGTCTTTCATATAAATAAATAATTGACATTTATTTTTATTTTCATTTTGACCGACCTTGTGTGGAAAAGCTGGAAAAAATCCGTGAAAAATAAATTAAAAATCTTGTAACATGTCATGCTGCATGTATAAGGAGGCTGTTAACTATCTTGTCATAGGTCTTGCTGAAATAATGCTGATGGAACGTTAAATTTTAACTCACTCACTCATGCTGTGTGTATAACGAGGATGTTGACTATCTTGTAATATGTCATTCTGCATGTATAAGGAGGCTTTTAATTATCTTATTATATGTCATGCTGCGTGTATAAGGAGGCTGTTGACTGCATCTTGTAAGATGTCATTCTGCATGTATAAGGAGGCTTTTGATTATCTTATTATTTGTCATGCTGTATGTATAAGGAGGCTGTTGACTGTATCTTGTAATATGTCATGCTGTATGTATTCGGATACTGTTGACTGTATCTTGTAATATGTCATGCTGCAAGTATAAGGAGGCTGTTGACTGTATCTTGTAATATGTCATGCTGCATGTATAAGGAGGCTGTTGACTGTATCTTGTAATATGTCATGCTGCATGTATAAGGAGGCTGTTGACTGTATCTTGAAATATGTCATGCTGCATGTATTTGGATGCTGTTGACTGTGTCTTGTAACATGTCATGCTGCATGTATAAGGAGGCTTTTGAGTGTATCTTGTAATATGTCATGCTGCGTGTACAAGGAGGCTGTTGACTGTATCTTGAAATATGTCAAGCTGCATGTATAAGGAGGCTGTTGACTGTATCTTGTAATATGTCATGCTGCGTGTATAAGGAGGCTGTTGACTGTATCTTGTAATATGTCATGCTGCATGTATAAGGAGGCTGTTGACTGTATCTTGTAATATGTCATGCTGCGTGTACAAGGGGGCTGTTGACTGTATCTTGTAAAATGTCATGCTGCGTGTATAAGGAGGCTGTTGACTGTATCTTGTAATATGTCATGCTGCGTGTATAGGGAGGCTGTTGACTGTATCTTGTAATATGTCATGCTGCATGTATTCGGATACTGTTGACTGTATCTTGTAATATGTCATGCTGCATGCACATGACAGGAATAGGAACACATATTGATAACATTTGGTACTTATTAGTTGTAATTGATATGAAGCATATTTGACAAAATGACAAAGGAAATCAAGTTTAAGATAATTCAATTTTTTTTATGGTGCCTCAGCCATTATTAAATGGCTGGAATTATAGGAGTAGTTGTTACGGAGATACCTGTTGGGAATTGTAATTGAATCTTTTCCCTGGGTTAATAGAGACTCTGAACTGTAAAACATCTTACACTAGCTGTATCTACAGTTGCTTTGTGCACATGGGTCTCACAGTGTAAACAGGTCATCAAATAACACCCCCAACCCCAGCCAAGGAACAAAACTCCATGCACTATGTGCTGATGCAGCAAATTCCTTATTTCTATAAATTCCACATGCAGGGGATATAATTATAAATATAGGACAAATAGATGATTAGATTTTAACTGAATACTCTATCCCTATGCCAGAATTTCAACTCATTATATAACTATTTCAAAAATTACATTCACTTTTCTGATCATGGACTCATGGATAGAACATGATATTCTCAACTGTGTGAACATGTGGTTCATATTTGCTGAAAACAGTAAAGCATTCGAGTTATTAAATATCAATCATGGCTCAACATTGGTTTCAAATGACAGAAGATTGTTATACAATTTTACCAGTTACCATTTGTGTCACTGGGCATTGTGCCACTGCTGCTACAGGGAGGTGGGCACTGTGCCCCTGGTGTGGTTGCTAAAGGAAGGTGGGCACTGTTCCCCTGATGTGGTTGCTAAAGGAAGGTGGGCACTGTGTCCCTGATTTGGTTGCTACAGGAAGGTGGCCACTGTGCCCCTGATGTGGTTGCTACAGGAAGGTGGGCACTGTGCCCCTGGTGTGGTTGCTAAAGGAAGGTGGGCACTGTTCCCCTGGTGTGGTTGCTACAGGAAGGTGGGCACTGTTCCCCTGATGTGGTTGCTACAGGAAGGTGGCCACTGTGCCCCTGATGTGGTTGATACCGGAAGATGGGCACTGTTCCCCTGATGTGGTTGCTACAGGAAGGTTGGCACTGTGCCCCTGATGTGGTAGCTACAGGAAGGTGGGCACTGTGCCCCTGATGTGGTTGCTACAGAAAGGTGGCCACTGTGCCCCTGGTGTGGTTGCTAAAGGAAGGTGGGCACTGTTCCCCTGATGTGGTTGCTACAGGAAGGTGGGCACTGTGCCCCTGATGTGGTTGCAACAGGAAGGTGGGCACTGTGTCCCTGATTTGGTTGCTACAGGAAGGTGGGCACTGTGCCCCTGATGTGGTTGCTACAGGAAGGTGGGCACTGTGCCCCTGGTGTGGTTGCTACAGGAAGGTGGGCACTGTGTCCCTGATTTGGTTGCTACAGGAAGGTGGGCACTGTGCCCCTGATGTGGTTGCTACAGGAAGGTGGGCACTGTGCCCCTGGTGTGGTTGCTAAAGGAAGGTGGGCACTGTTCCCATGATGTGGTTGCTACAGGAAGGTGGGCACTGTGCCCCTGATGTGGTTGATACGGGAAGATGGGCACTGTGCCCCTGATGTGGTTGCTACAGGAAGGTGGGCACTGTGCCCCTGATGTGGTAGCTACAGGAAGGTGGGCACTGTGCCCCTGATGTGGTTGCTACAGAAAGGTGGCCACTGTGCCCCTGATGTGGTTGCTACGGGAAGATGGGCACTCTGCCCCTGATGTGGTTGCTACAGGAAGGTGGGCACTGTGCCCCTGGTGTGGTTGCTACAGGAAGGTGGGCACTGTGCCCCTGGTGTGGTTGCTACAGGAGGGTGGGCACTGTGCCCCTGGTGTGGTTGCTACAGGATGGTGGGCACTGTGCCCCTGATGTGGTTGCTACGGGAAGGTGGGCACTGTGCCCCTGATGTGGTTGCTACAGGAAGGTGGGCACTGTCCCCCTGATTTGGTTGCTACAGGAAGGTGGGCACTGTGCCCCTGATGTGGTTGCTACGAGAAGGTGGGCACTGTGCCCCTGATGTGGTTGCTACAGGAAGGTGGGCACTGTCCCCCTGATTTGGTTGCTACAGGAAGGTGGGCACTGTGCCCCTGATTTGGTTGCTACAGGAAGGTGGGCACTGTGCCCCTGATTTGGTTGCTACAGGAAGGTGGGCACTGTTCCCCTGATATTATTGCTACAGGGAGCAGGGTACTGTGCCCCTGATGTGGCTGCTACAGGAAGGTGGTCACTGTGTTACTGATGTGGCACATGAAAACCAAAAATAAGTTGAAAATATACAGGTGGTCGTGGAAAAGTCAATATGTGTGTCTATGTGTGTGTCTGTATGTGGGAATTTATGCATGAGTACTCTTCATAACCTAATCAATGTTAGAAGTTCAGTTTAGTTTTGTGGGTGGGTACCAGGATTCAAACAATACAGCAGCAAACATAAAGAACCCCTATTAATTTGTAACGTGTGTTTAAGTGTGTGTTTGTGTGCTGTCTAGCTGAGGACTTAATATGCTTCTCTGAATCTATAAAAAGCATCTTCAGCATTAACCTTGAAAAGCCACACTCCTTTGCACCCACAGGCTAATTCTTACATACAAAAGTGTTATTTAACGTACACAAATAGAATATCCATCAATTAAACCGTCAGTTGCAGGGGGTTCCCAATAATGATCGGAGCCATTGAGAATTTACTCACATATTACGGTCAACACTTACACTGATTATTGAGTTTTCAATGTTTTACTATTATATTTCTTTTGGGTATGTTTAAACCAATGAGTAAATGTTTTACAAATAATTCTGCTAAAAAATGTTGTTTCCAGTGCCTTTAAGCTGCACCTGTTCATCTGCTGCCCCTAGTGTGTCCAATGTCGAAAAGCTCCCAACAGCGATGCACTTATCTACAATGGTCTAAGTTACATATTAATAAAGGAGACATGTGCTCTTGTACATTATTTACTGCAGTGAGCTCCTGTATGCATGATGCCAGCATTCATCAGTCAATAAAGATCTCAAAAGAAATACAGGAACACAAGGTGAAAGGATACATAAAAGTATATTGGGTAATTACGCACAATGTTGTGATATTTTTGGGTAATTAAAATTGTTCATGTCTATTTGTATGCAAGCAACTCAAAATTAATTGGGAAATGGTGATTTATTTTGCGTATTTTACACTAATATGCAGCTTATCTGGAGGGCTGCAGTTGTTCGTACTTGATAGTGTTTTTACCCAATCTCAAATTATTGTGATGAACAAACTTTACCACTAGAGCTGAGTACCGCCTGGTATCTTGCGATATGATTTTTGTATCATGATACGGTCTGAAGATACTACTGGTATCACGATCCACATCAAATAGTAAGAAATGATGAAATCACTGAAATATAGCTCTAAAACCTCTTTCTTCATACTTTTCTTTATTATCTCAAAAACGTTAAAGAAAACCACAAGAACAAAACAGTTTTAAATGAAAGGATGGTCATTAAATGTAAAAGGTAGTCGGCACGTCCTCAGCTACTAGGTCCTTGTGTTCTGCCATGCTTACAGTTGGCACTATGCCACTTCTGCCATTATATGGGAGGTAACTCTATTAAACTGTCGATTCAACTATCGTGTGTACCTAAGTATCGATGATACCATAGGTATCAGTGAATTGTTACAACCCTATTTACCACGCTATCATTATCTTCTAAAGTGATCATTTTAAGTATGGAGTACACATGCTACCTTACTTCCCAAAAGCTATACAGGTGTGCATGCGTGCATGTGTGTGTTCTACACTCAAGTCATTTTACACACAAGAACAATCAGCAATATAATTTCATCCATATTAACTTTGTGCTTCCTTAAAAATATTCTTTAAAAAAATAATATACCAAGTAGTTTTCAATTTGGAGTATCAAAGTGACTTTTACTGTTTGAATTGTTTTTAGTTGGAACATGGATCCCTTGTTCCCTTGTTTCAGCATCCTCACTACAAAAGACAGATGTACAATAGAGGATGGAGAGGCCATGGCAATATTAACCATAGCTTTTTGTGAAGTGATGGCAGCTTCTTTTCACATAAAATGTCAACTCACCGTCTACTCTCTGTTTTTTATTTTCATCCAAAGATTCAGCACTGTAAACAAATATAAATCAAATGTAAATACATGAAGAAAAAGAAATGAAAAGGTGTAAATGTTGAAAGGTCAATAAGACCATTAAAACATGACAGGATGATTGGATTGATGGATAGTTGGGTGGGTGGTGTGTGATAGATGGAAAAATTAAAGGATGGGTTGAAAGATGGATGCAAATTGGAAAAACTGACGGATGCTGGAAAGATGGATGATACACAGATATTTTGATGGATGGTGGAAAGATGGATGATAGATGGGCGGATAAATGGAGGATATATGTAAAAAATGATGGATGATGGAAAGATGGATGGTTTGGTATATGGATGATATATGATGAGTGAATGGAAAAATGGATGAATGGATGGGTTAAGGAAAGGATGGTGATCTAAGAAAAGCGCTACATAACAACCAAGTTTATTGCCTGACATGCCATCGAGCTCCTTCGTACATGAGTTGTTGTTTAAAGCTGTGTCATCTAAGAAAAGCGCTACATAACAACAAAGTTTATTGCCCGACATGACATCGAGCTCCTTCATACATGAGTTGTTGTTTAACGCTGTGTCAGCTATATCACAGGAAATAAAGTACCAGTGGTTGATATTATGAGCAGCGTAATCCTGTTTGGGTATGAAGACACACAATCAACCAGTCCCCAAGCCGGACACTGATCCAATCGTGATGCCTCTTACAACAAGCAATAGAGTGCTGGGCCTCGTTCCACAAAGTGATCTTAGCGCTAAGTCGATCGTAACTCCCATTCTTTAACACTGACTTACTACAATCGTAGCACTAAGATCTCTTTGTGGAACGGGGCCCTGGGGACCAATTCTAATCAGGAGTCCACAACTTTTTTCACATTGATGCAAAAAACGGCAAGAATCTCACTACACTGTGAGAATATTGACTGAGAATATCTCAATTATTTGAAAAGTTCATATTGAAAACATACCATTATACATGTTTTACAAACACATCGTCTATTCATATTTTACATAACAAACATTCTGTTCACTGCAAATCTTCTTGCACAAATCACAGCTAGAATAAAACCAGAGTTTGCATACAACGCCTGTCAAACTGGTACAGTCAAGATTTCAAAGTGGAAACTGTTATTTTATCAACTGATCCATATTTTACTGCATTATCTCCACGTAAAACATACATTAAGTTAATACAGAAGTCATTAGAGAAAATAAGCCACTAATCAGTGCAGTCACCTCGAAGTAGGTCTTGCTCCACTTTCTCCACGGGGTAGAATTACAGTTTTTTCAGATATCTGTCATAACTGTTTTTCTTACCACATGTTTCTGATTGTGGGCTTAATGATATCAGTTGATGCTGACGATACTGGGATGCTGCTGCTCTCTGTAAACGGACCAGTCAGTACACACAGCTAGGGTGCGTTGCAAGCCAAGAATTGCTTAGAGTAAGCATATTAATCGCTCATCCAGGGGTCTGCAAGGGCTTGAAGCGCTTGCTCACTTTTCCAAAATGGTTGCGCAACTACCGCTTGGTTGCCTTGCCCTAATGAAGAACGTAATAGAAGAGGCTCGATGACGAACTGATGAATTTATGACTTTGAAGATGTGGAGGATGATGGGATGTTAGCTGCCTTTGCTCATTTCCCAGTTGATCCAGTCAATTTCTCAAACTCAGACGCCATTTTGGTTTGAGAACAAAGCGACCTCAGTCAGCGATTGGTATGATTGCAAGCGGCTGAAAGTTAGCGTCCCATTGTTAGGCGAATCACTGAACATCGCTTGCAAGTGATTGGCACTTTGCAATGCACCCCTGACGTCCTTCATCATGTTCATGGGATGGGAGGATTATTTATAGCACTGTAGGCTGGCAGTATTGATCTACTAAATCAGGTCTAATCATTGTTCCACCAGTTCCATATGGTTTACATCTGTGGTAATTGCATATCAGATACAACATGTATAATCAACTTATCCTGTTTTGGGTTTCACAAATTTAATGTGGAATATTTTCAGCTCTCAAAAGAACTTCAAACAGAACTGATAAGCATATGTGCTTTTGTAGAAACTGTAGCTCACATGGAAGGTTAGTTCAAAGTTAAAAATGTCAACAATGATAGCCACAAAAGTTGCAGACAGCATTGATATTTTCTGTATATCATGGTATATATACTGAGGAAATACAAGCACTTAAATCCAATGCTCTGAATACAATATGTCACCATCATGATCATAAGGAGAAACATACATATCACAGTTGAGCTGTTGGTTCAGGCATTTTCAGAAGAGAAAAGGATTACAGAGTTCATATTCATTTTGAGAGAAACAAGGACAAAATTATAATTTAAAAAAACCCAACCCAAAACAGAACAAATGTGTTGAATCCCACAACAAAGTAAACCAATACCAATTTCACTACTTTTTGTACAAAAATGGTTGAACAGTGGCCATAAATAGCTTCATCAACATGGCTGCCATAAGGAAATCGGGATTTGAACCTCTTGAATAAATTCGGGTGTTATCATTGGTGGGGATAAGCATGAAGTTTCAGTTTCATTGGTGAAGTGGTTTCTGAGAAGATGTGCGAAGGTCAAATCAACGGCAAAAAAATAAATTAACGAAAAAATGGAAATCATATGTTGGGCCTTAGTACAAACTACACACAAAATTTCAAAAATGACCAAATAACAGCTCTAGCATGCCACGACAAAGCTCACTTCAGTCAGGTGAGCCACTAAAAGAATGATTCCCTGATTCTTACACATTTGCAAGTTGTAATTTAATTTCAGGGAGCTCATCACTCTTGTGGGTCTGCAGAAACTTGTTCACTAGCCAAAGGACGAATACATGCAAATTGCCAAACGCAGTAGAGTTTAGTGACTAGTCTATCTTAATTTGTGGAAGCTCTGATCCTGGTTACAACAGCTTCCTGTACACATTGTGTGTGAATGTGGGTAAAAATTCTCGACAGCGTGCTGTTCTGCAAAACATTCTAAAATTAACACGATGCACTGCTCTACTTGTATGACTTTATGTGTTTGGCAAGATTCATTGCCTTTCAGAACAGTTTTTGACATAACATCATTACAGTGGCAATGACTTTCCTTGACATTTAAGTGCTGATATATTTGGGCCAAATTAAAGGACCGGCTACAGCGTTCAGATGTACGCACTGCGGTACTTAGGTACTGTATGAAACTTGTGTGTCCCACTGTAGCATGGGATAGTGAGCTGTTGGTTCCATTCAGAGTGGGTGAGTGAGTGAGTGAGTGAGTGAGTGAGTGAGTGAGTGAGTGTTGGTGAGTGAGTGAGTGAGTGAGTGTGTGTGTGAGTGAGTGGAGACAAGCGCTGCTTTGAACAATATTTTAGTTCAACTCAAGTCAGCTTAAGAAGAAGAAGAAGAATGAGTGAGTGAGTGAGTGAGTGAGTGAGTGAGTGAGTGAGTGAGTGAGTGAGTGAGTGAGTGAGTATGGTTTTACGCCGCTTTAAGCAATATTCCAGCAATATCCTGGCGGGGGGGGGGGTCACCAGAAATGGGCTTCACACATTGTACCCATGTCGGGAATCGAACCCGGGTCTTCGGCGTGATGGAAGAAGAGGAAGAAGAAGAAGAATGTGTGCATTTATAAGCACCAAATTACATTCACCAAGTGGATTCTCATGGCGCTACACTATTATTACCCCGGTCATAGGTCCAGTGTGGGAGGAAGGCCGATGCAGGTAGTTACCACTTTGGTGAAACTAAGGGCGAATCTGGCATTCTAAACCATGATAATATGTTTCTTAGGGATACCATGCACAGTGAATGACAGCAACCTAAGATGACTGGTCACCCTTTCCCAGGCTCTGTATAAAAATATTAGCACTAACAGTGTTTTATTCCTTATCCATTGATTGGAAACATCTACAAGATCTGAGAACATCAAATGTGAAGTAACACCTTTGTTAATTATGTATTGTTTGAAAGAAGGGAAACAGATTGTAATGATTGGTATCATGTGATACTTAATTTCTGGAAGCTTTTCAATGTTGCTTCATAACAACCTTTGGTTCCATATGGGTTGGAAATTGAGTCATTAGTTTACTTGACCATCCAAGAAACAGTTTCACACTTTCAAAATATCTCTGTGTGTACCAGTATACCACAATTTCAAATACTAATAAATATTTATCAAAATATCTGTATACTGTGTTTCCAAATCATGCATATTTCAAAGTTTACATAAGTTTTGTTTGTTTGTTGTTTAAGGGCGCACTCAGCAATATTCCAGCTACATGACGGCGGTTTGTAAAAAATCGAGTCTGGACCAGACAATCCAGTGATTGACATCATGATCATCGATCCACACACTTGGGATCAATGACATGCATCAATCAAGTCAGCGAGAGTGACCACCCAATCCTATTTGTCGCCTCTTATGACAAGCAAAGTTGCCTTTTACGGCAAGCATGGGTCGCTTTACATAAGTGACAAGTCAAAGAGAAATTATGAAATTATGAAATTAGCAACTGAATCCTGTGATCAGAAAAAGTGAAACTACTGCGACCAGCTTCCTGAATATAATGTGTCTGTTACGCATGTTTTGCGACTATATCAACACCCAACAAAATGACGGACGACTACAAAGTCGTCAAAAATGTGAGGTGAAAGTCTGATGTATGGGACTGTTTCAAGTCATCGAGGTTCTTGTTAATAGGTTCATAACAAAACAGAGATGACAGAACGCATGCAGTATATTGTGGTAGGTATGGCAATATATGAATGATTATGACAATAAATTGCAATAATGAAATAAAGGCCAATACCCGTCACTACCTACCAACAGTACTTTTCACACATAATTAATATGTGTTGACATATTGATTACACTGTGGTTTTGAAAGAAACTGAAAACCATAATAATCTACATATTAGGGCTGGGATCAGTCCAAATTTACTACCCGGGTATCAACCCTCCTATTACCCGACCCTACACGGGTACCCGCTGTAGGTCTCAATAGATAGGTACAAAATTGGGAAT